TGGTCTGTTTCTGAAAGATCCAGTTTTTTCACATGGACAATTGTATGTTGCCTTATCTAGAGTTCAGAGTAGAGAGGGATTAAAATTATTAATTTTAGATAAAGATGGCAAACTCACAAATAAAACTTCCAATGTTGTTTATAAGGAAGTTTTTCGAAATTTGTAGCCAACTTTTTTGTAACGTCGTTTTATTCAATTTTAGGAAATCACACTTAATCCATCATATTACTGTATTTTTTTATAATTACGTATTGTTGTATTTTATGTTAATTTCATTACACACATTGGTATTGTATCATCTGCATATGTCCAATTAGAATGATGAATAAAAAAAAATAGTTTTCAAAAATCTTCATTCCTAATTAAATACTTCCCATTTAGTTAGTAATTAAATAATTACCAATAAAAAAAATTATTTAAATATTCAATATTACAATTTATAAGTTATCAGAATTATTGATATAATATTTTATTAAATAATTAATTTTTAAATTCAATTCAAAAACAACACCCGTGGGTTCCACGGGTTTTAACCTAGTTTACTAATAAGATACCGGATGCGATGATACCAAATTTGAGAAATGGTTTGTAATTAGTATGAGATTGTGATCATCAATAATTGTTTCATACCCATCCCTATCGGTATATGTATATATCTTCACCAAAAACTTCTATCATTTCTTTTTTATTTCCGGTCCGATTCGAACATTCAAATTAAACCAATTCCCCTGCTGTGGGGATATTGTCATTAATTGTTTAGATTTTTTTTTTTTTAATATTTTACCAATAATTTCCTATAATATTATGTATATATTTACGAGTAATGGAAAGTGTCAGAATTCTTGGACGACAAAAAGGTACTCAAGCTTCCAAATTTTCCTGTTCAAAAAAGTAACCTTCGTATCAAGAGAAAACGTAGAAAAGCACAATCAATCATATATAAAATCGTCAATTTTCACCTATATAAACAAATTTAAAAATATGTTGCAAATATTTTTATCAAAAGAACTAAAGTGTGGTTCACAATAAAACCTTTTAATTTCACTTGCCAAGGATTTGCATATAGGCATTCCGATAACAAACATTTGAAAAAAAAAAAAAAAGAGTAGAGATTACGTTTTATAAATACACTACATGTTCAAAATTTCAACAGCTTTCCACCATGGTTTTATATGAATGCCAATTTTCACCATCTTCAGACCTTCTTTGCTCCTCTAATATCCACTCTAGCTCACTTGGTCTACAAGGTATCATCAATGCACCTTCATGGTCGAATCCATACTCTTCTGCAGCCCTCTCCAAGAGTCTTAAAAATTCAGGGTGTCTGAGATAAGTGATAGGAACAACAAATCTCCTTTCAACATAATCATCGGATGCTATCACAGCAAAGTGTCCTTCTTTCACATCTTTTGGTACCATTTCTTGGCTAGAAAACGACTCTCTCCTTTTCTTGGCTAAGAAAAGACCCTTTTGCAATCTCTCCAGAACTAGCTTAAGCTTCAAAATACCGTTGTTTTTCTTACCATTACTACCACTTCTCACCTTTGCCATCTAAACTTTTTGATTTTTTTTTTTTAAATGATGTTTGATTTTTGAGTGCATTTCCTCTATCATTTGTCTCCTTATATAGTACCACTGTAGAGAGAGAGAGAGAGAGAGAGAGAGAGAGAGAGAGAGAGAGAGAGAGAGAGAGAGAGAGAGAGAGAGAGAGAGAGAGAGAGAGAGAGAGAGTTTTGAACATTTGCATGTGCATGGAGATTGAAGTTCGAGTCTCAACGGGCCCTTCCAAAGGTAGAGTCACCTCTATATTATGGCCTACTTTATTGAGCAAATATTATAACGTTTTATATGCAAATATGCATGTATATATATAATTAATCCTCCATGTCTGGTCAAAATTTTAGAAGATAATATCTTTTACATGTATAATATATATCTTATAATGGATATCACTTGTCAAAAATATATAACCATTTTCGTTGTGGATTTGTACATGTTACATTGCATGGTTCATATATTTTTAATTATCTATCGTTATTAGGTCTAGATGTCATGTACATGTTTATATATTTGCTATTTAAACTAATAATTCAAGATGTATTTGACATGAGATCTATACAAGCAGCAGCCGGCGTTATCCTAATATATATTATTAAATTGTCATCGTAAAATTATTACTAAAATTTACATGTTATGACGCTAAAAGCTCAAGTAGCAGGCCCTAACGTCCCAGCACACTATGACAATCACAATTCAAGCGATAATATCAGTTGTATTGTATCTTGGCTTCATGAAGTTGTACTTTCAATAAATAGAGTATGGGTACTTGTAGTACAACAAGACCTGAGCTGAGCGACATAAGAAAGTGCATCAAAAGGTCAAGAAATGCCAGAGGGTCTCAAGTGCGCTTGATTAAGATTGCTCGAAGGATATTTCATTTTTTTTTTATTTGGTGTCGAGTTACTTCAAGACAAGAGTATCACCACCTTCGTTTATTGCAAGTCAGGCTTGTCTTTTGGTCATTTTTATTATATAAAAGATAGTAATTTTAATCGTAAAAAAAAGTGATTTGATTACTTTAATCCAGTTATGATGAGTTATTTTTGGTTATATAGTATGTGTCCATGGAGTAGATGCATGTGATTAGCGTTAAATATAATAGCAAGAATGTAAGATGTATACATATAAAAGATCTTAATTTTTAGCGTTAGATTTACATTTGTTTGATAGATTTCTTTAGATAGTTTAGTCAGTAGGTCCGACACAGGTGCTTTATAATTGGTTGGATGATTACTACGTCCAATTGTATGATACTATAAGTCGACCCCTTTCTTTTTATGTACAGTCAACCTCATATATGTTTTCTAAAAAAAGGCACAAGAGAGAAAGGTGCCTTCAATCGATTTTCATAATATGATTTTAATTTTTAGGCTAAATTAAATGTTCCATCCTTGTCCTTATGGTTTGTGGTATGGTCAAATTTATGGACACCGTATCTACTAAATATATTTCACATACTCTATGTGTCGTATATATGCATTTCATTAATACACAAGGGCAGCTAGAATGGTTTTTTTTTTCTATGTTTCTCTCTTATTAGGGTATATCCAAACCCCACTTTATTTAATAATTTATATAGGAATTATTAATATCATAATTATTTTGAATTATTCATATACATATTATATGTTAAGTTATATTTTTTAGAAAAAATTACACGGTTAGTTTATATAGTTTGTCAAAACAGACTGATTCAGTATAAAATAACTATTTAAGTCTTTACACGTTAAGTCTCTCCCCTACTATGGTTTTATTGATTGTGTGATTGGTGGTTGTGGTTTCATTATCTTTTCCTAACCAGTCTGGAATTACTATTTTACCCATTTTGAACTTTTTATTCGTTTTTTTTTTCTTATTTTAAATACGGCCAATACAAACACATTTAACATAATCCACCCAGCCCTCCTTGCATCAGCTCCTCTATCTCTTTCCCACTCCGACTTCCCCCCCCCCCCCCCCCCCCCCCCCCCAACATCACCGGTGATGGTGAAACTTCATTGTATAACTCCATCTCTTTATCGCCATCTTCCTCGTTCTCTCTCAAATCGAACCATTGTTGGCCCAAAAGGTTCTGATGAACACATGATGTTACACATCACATGCTGATATTGAGGAAATTGATTCAGGCCTCTACCATGCATCACTAACGTTGTGATGGTGATGAGTATGACCGATGATGTGGGGTGGAGAAGATGAAGAAAAAAACAGGTGATGGAGAGGGTGAAATAGTATCTGAAGATGAAAACGTTGAAGGTTGTGGTGTGTATTTCTTTGTTACAAGTTTAACGGATTATAGATAGTCAAGGGCTAGTGAGATGAAGATATGTAGGTTCAACATGGGTTAATGTACCGGTGGGCTTAAGTGTTGATGAAGACGATTCAATTATTTTGTGATCACCTTCTTATAATCTTCCACTACTAGAATATAAGCCTTTAATGATGTATGCACTATGACACATACTGATTTATGATAAGCAAAAGTAGATGTCCTAAAAATAATGTCATTTCTCCCTGCTTATTAAAGTTCTAGTCTTCTTTATGGAATTTGATCTTTCAGCTTGTTGATCCAACATGATGATTGTCATGTTCAGGAATGGGTAAAAAAAACATCATCGTCATCGAACATGAGGACGGAAATTTCTTCATCATTTAACTGTGTTTGTATACAATGTACAAAATTTTAAAATTGTTGCGTAAAAGTTGTGTAAAATAACTATAAGATTTGATATATATATATATATATATATATATATATATATATATATATATATATATATATATATATATATACACACACATCACGATTACGCCTCATTGGGACCGTGTTCACGTGTGGCCTAAGATGCCATGTCATCCTTACCGGTGCGCCATCGGGATTATATCGAATATTCAGATGCCTTATTAATTGTCAAACACCATTTTTCAAAACACTCGGTCGTTACATTCTTGCCATGCCATGGATTCCTAAACGAAAATCCAAAAGTTACTATCATTATTGTAACTGGTGTTCAAAAGTGATTATATATGATGTATGAGACTTTGAGGTAACTAACATATATACCAGAGATTGACGTGAACTATCAATGCTAAAAATCCTTCAACAAAAACTTTTCATCAGTAGTGCATTTTTTTTTCACTTCGAAAATTACTCTTATAATTATAATGTATGTATGAATTTCTGCATTGTAACAGAAAATAATTAAACGACAAGGTGGCGAGAATCGAGATCAGTTGTGTAGTAACCCATTGATCGAATGCAACCTTTCCCTTGCTTCTATGTATAGTTTTTTTTTTTTTTTTTTTTTTTTTAATAAATAAAATTATGTTCTAATTCAGAAATAAATGATGACATCAGTAAAAATAATAAAAGTACGTATAATTTTTCAATATTGATTAATTTGAATAACAAAATCTACTCCTTGTATTACTATGTGTATATAATCCAACATTACAAAAAAAAAAAAAAAAAAAAACGTATTATCTACTTTCTTTTTTCCTATCACTATAACATGTTTGTATTTATCTACAAATTACAATTTAAAGGCATAAAAGACTATAGAATATAAGCGGTATAAATGCATTATCAAGCTGTGCAGTGTATGCCTCAAGTAAACCGCTCACCATCACCGCCATCAAAAGCGATAACCAATGCTGCCACAATTTTACCATCACCCCAAAATTTAAAAATAAAAATAAAAAATAAAAAAATAAGAGAGAGAGAGAGAGAGAGAGAGAGAGAGAGAGAGAGAGAGAGAGAGAGAGAGAGAAACCTGAGTGAACATGTGTCCTGTGGCGGTCAAGAGCGGCAGTAGGGCTGAGCAAGCCGCCAGGACCGATGTTATTCCGGCAGCAGTGCCTTCAACGGTTTTTTCTGTAAATAAAAAAAAAAAAAAAATGGGATTAAGGGAAATGTTGATAATATAAAAGAAGAAGTTATATATATTATATACTTACTGCCTGTTTTACTCCATCGGAGAACACCATATTTATATCCAACCATGGAAGCCTAGAAAAAAGGTTTATGAATATACTTATATTATTATATACATATAAATAATGTTATATAAAAATATACGAAAAAGAATAAATGGGATTTTATATTGTTATTTATTACCATTGTGTCTCCGATTCCAAGGCTCAAGATTCCAGCAAAAGGGGCGAGGGGTCGATCATTGAATCCTGACGACATCCAAATAGGCAAGGCGCATCCCAAAAGGAGCGAAAAATGGCTGCATAAAATTATTTTTATATTTAAGTGAAAAATATATTATTATTTTTATTATAGTTTGTAATTTAAAGGAAATATTATTAACAAGACCTGACTATAAGAAGATCAGAGTCACGATGATCAGTGAAGGCGTTCATAAACTTATGTACAAGTGGTCCTAAAGGCCATATTCTCCATACCTGCCTAAAAAAATTATTATTATCCACCCAACAATAAATAAATAAATAAATAAATTATTGTTTCACCACATTAAGAGTATCTTTAATACTATTTGAAAAAGCTTTTCGATAGCTTTTTACAATTGGAGAGATGAGAGTTTTTTTAAAGGGTCACTTCAAGTTATTCCTTTTAAAGATATTGTCTATTTTGGCCCTTGCATTTAACAACATTTTCATTTTACACCCTAGTTGTATTTAGATATCTACTTTTTATTATTATTTTTTTGATTAGGTGATCTACTTAATTAAAAATACAAAATAAAAATAGATATATTTTGGAGAAAATTATATAATTGAAACGTAATTGTCAAAACTCTCAAGATGACATATATACCAAAGATTAACAAACATTGTGCTCACATAATATTTATCTTTTTTTTTTTATCAAATGACAGAAAAATAAAAAATAATAAATAATAAAACTTCAAAATCAAGTTTCAAGAAGAATTTACCCGAATTATTTCCAGCACTAAGAAAACCCCCAAAGCTGCACCAAAAGCCAAGTTGAGAAACAATGGCTGAAAACAAACAGATAAACAAAACTCAGATGATGATGATGGTGGTGGTGGTGGTGGTGGTGGTGGTGTGTGTGTGTGTGTGTACTCACCTGGAAGATAACAGCAGGGACAAACATTAAAACAGCCACAAGATGGTAATATTTTCTGAGTAAAATTCGTTCAATTTTACTGTTTTTGGAGATGTTATAGAATCGAAGCACAGATGCACAAATAACAGCCACCCAATAAACACATAAGGAGAGTCTTTTGTGTGGTTCAGAGAATACAAATTTTAAAACCCTAAAAAAAAAGAGGGAAAAATCGTATGTTAAGGGTCAAGATAAAAAAAAAGTTTAAACTTTAAAGTAAAATTAGTTCATAAAAGGTAAAAAAAATACCATAGAAAGGGATGCACATGGAAATCTTGAACAAATTGCATCCATAATGGAACAATTGCTAATAGAATAAACGCTAAACACCCGTAAAATATAGTTGACTGTTTGACTTCTGTGTTTGATGATGTCATGTAAAGTTTCCATTTTTTTAAGATGGATTTGAATAAAATTGGAATTATAAGAAGGCCAAGAAGCATTCCCTGAATGTAAGAAGAAATGTGAAGTATATGATTTATTGGTGACTTTGAAAAGGATTTTAATTGAAGAAATGTTTTTAAATAACATACCTGTATAATAGTGTTTATCTCACTTCTTTCCACCTCATATGCAATAGAACTCAACCTTGCAGTTGTACATGCAAACATATCTCCAAAATAAACAACAAATCCAGCTGTAACCAAAAGTGCTTCACCTAAAATAGAAACAATTGAATTAGTTACTGAAATTGTAAATTGATTAAAAAAAGAAAGTGAAGAAGAAGAAGAAGATGAAGAAGAAGAAGATACCAAATGAAGCACATGCTGGAAATGTGTTGAGAACATGTTGAATGAATTTCACAGCTGAGACCCCATGACATACAATCCACAACAAAGTCAATGCCATGTTCCATTCTGCAAGATGCAAAGATTGAGTTACATGTTTTGAAAAAATGGAGTTTTGAGGGGTAAATTAGTCAATGAACTCACTGGAAGATGATTTTGCAGAAAAAGATAAATAGCACACTGCTGTAAACAAGGCTATGGAACTAATGCTGAACTTCATATGGCAATCGTTGTGAAGAGATGCTGAACTGGTCTTCTTTGATTCATGGTGACACATGAAGCAAAGGAAAACAAGCACACAGAGGCAAGTAGTGGAAGTGGCCCAATATTGTAATCTTATGAATTCAACCTCTGTAAAAGGAGAGATGAGAAAATACAGAAGGTTATATAACTTATAAGATCACAAGAATGAATAATTTTGGTTTTTGTTCCCTATAATTGAATTCTGTGAATCTCTGTGTTTGTGTGATTATCGATTCCAAAAAGTGAAAGAGAGGATTTGATTTAGAAACTATGCACCTTCAACTCCTACTTCATGCACTGACAAAGCTCTTGATAACTGTATCAGCTTTGAAATTGCAACACCTGGAAGAGTAACAGCGCCCAACAGAATCCCTGATGAAGCACCTGGCCTAATATGACAAATTTACAAATTATTCATCTCAGTAATCGTAAGATGAACCCAATCAACCTGAATTCCATCAAAATGAGGATAGAAAATTGGAATTTTGAGAGTAATTCCTTTGACAACCAAAGTAGAATATCCAAATGAACTAATCAAACTATAAGGGCTTTGAGGCTTCATGATTAATGTCTCAAAAAAAATCAGTAAATGCATCTGTTGATCAAATAAACATTTGATTCGGCTGAAATAAACCGCACATAAACCCAAACACCATCAAATTATGACAAATGGTAAACCCTAAGAAACCGATTTAATATAATTTATGAAGTGGCTGGATCAATTGAGTACCTGGTTTTGAAGGGGAAGGCGGAGCCGTACGATTCGACGGAGATCTCGACGAATAGGGCAAAAATAGTGAGAAGAGAGAATGATAGCCCTTCATAGAGAAGCGATATGCGTGTAGAGTAAAGAATGCTGGAAACGAACAGCAAAACCACAGCTCTCTCACCGTTTAACATCGATGAAGCCATGCCCGTCGCCAATGTGTTAATTTGGGGGATTAATTATTCAGGA